CCTCGTTGCTTCTATCCTCCTTGGTTAATAGGACTTTGTCAGTTATGCATGACGCTCAGATTTGTTGGTCTGTTGGGAGTTGTTGTTTTTACAAAAGTGCATTAACAATGGCAAAAAAACTTTAGAAAACACATTTGGATGTACAATTATATTTTTTATAACTTGAATTTATATGTATTTTCTAGTCTAAAATAGAGCTCACTATGGATCCTTGTGAGCATGTGACCTAACATGTGCTAATGTCTCCTTTACTACTTAGTTACCAAAAATGTGAAGCACATGGCTAATAAATTTTAATTTTACTGGTTGAAGGGGATGTCATTTGACATCACTAAAATAACATTTTGTTGGTTGAACATTTTAAATGCAATTGTCTTAGCGTCATTTATAAATGACGATATCCCATAGAGGGTTATGTGTGTATTTATATATACATAATAAATATACATAGTGTACACATACATATATTATGTAAACAAAAATGTTTATTTTGGATGCGATTATATTTCATATATATACATAACATATTTTTCTTATATACATGCATGTGTGTGTATTTATATATACATTAAAATATATACTGTACACATATGTATATTATGTACACAAAAACGTTGATTTTGGATGCGATTAATCGCGATTAATCATTGCCCAGCACTACTTATTATTTTACGTAATTTTGCTTCTCAAGTAACTTCATCTTGTATAATGGAATAAAAAAAAATAATGCTCATCTGCAAAGATAGCCATGTATTTTCTGGTTGTTTCTGCACTGGCTCATTGCCATGTTGAATCTTCCCAGTGTGGTAATGGCTCAGCTTCAGTACATGTGCTGTGTTGTGCGATATATGGTTTGGCCACCTGGAGCTGGATTCTTGGAACTGGTATCTGTGTTCCTGATGTCTAGGCTTGTTTGGAATATCATTATGTTTATCTTCTTCAGGTTTACTTCTACAGCCCAGTTCTGGCAAAAATTCTCTCTTTCTGTTTCTCTCTCGCTGCCTTTGTAGATTTTCATTAAACAGAGTCTTTCGGCTCCTGCTGCCAGCGAGAGAGAGAGAGACAGGGAAAGAGAGGGAATGAAAAATGCATGTCCAGAGCTGAGGAGGACGCACTCAGGGTTTGGGAAGGGGGAAAGACTGGAGGAAACAGACAGCGTGAAGAAAAGAGAATAATGCAAAGATGCATAAGAAATAAAGCAACTGGGAGAATGGAGCAGGTGTTTATGACTGTAAATATTATTAGATAATTAATAGACCAGTCAAAAGTTTGGATACATCAAATTTTTATTATAAACTTTTTATTTATTATTAATTATGACTTTATTGCTTGAAGACTACAAAATTGGGTTTTACATTTTGTTAATCAGGCAGCTAAAAATGGAAAACCTCTATATGAAATCAACAGAAAATTAAACCCATTATATTTAGTTTGACCTCCTGAGGTTGATGATCAACAAGTTTGGATACACTTGCTTGCTTGCTTACTTTATTTTTAGTAATGGCTTTATTATTGTTCTAAAATGTGTGAAATAATAAACATTTGAACCATTATAAAGCCATTATTAATCCTTATTACTAATAATGTTAATACATATAAATATATTAATAATAAGTATCAATAACAAGTAATAAAGTCAGTGCATCCTGTGATGCTTTTTAAATCTTTGAAAATTAATATTATAATAATATTATTAATAATAAATTATTTAAATTATAATGCTGGGATGCTTTTTGAATGTTTAAAAAATTAATAGTTTTTGTGAGAAAGTTTAGCTATTTGTCTTTCATGATCTATTTATTTATTACTGATATTAAAGAAAATCATTATATTAATAAGTAAAAAAAAAAAAAAAAAAAAAAAGAAGAAGTAATTAAGTCAGTGCCTGTGATGCTTTTAAAAAGTTAGTAAATTTATATAATAATATATTATTAATACTAATTCATATAAATAGTAAAGCCAATTAATCCTGGAATGTTTTTAAATGTTTGAAAATTAATATAATGATATACAGTCTCATTAATAATAATTAATATCAATAGTAAATCCAGTTCATCCTGGGATGCTTTTTAAATGTTTGAAAATTAATAAAATATTATGTCATTAATAATAATTCATATAAACAGTAAAGCCAGTTCATCCTGGGATGCTTTTTAAATGTTTGAAAATTAATAAAATATTATGTCATTAATAATAATTCATATAAACAGTAAAGCCAGTTCATCCTGGGATGCTTTTTAAATGTTTAATAGTTCTTGTGAAAAAGTTTAGCTGTTTCTCTTTAATGATCCATTTATTTAATACATTTTTTTATTTTTGTTTTATTTATTTTTTTAAGTGTTTTGAAGATTATAAAAAAGTCCAAATTTTTGATTGGTACATTAATGCTTCGACCAACCTGAAAATATCATCGCATTACCACATTTCTTCATGGTAAAGACACAAGGACAAGTCTGAAACCGTACGCTTTAGGCAAACAATGAACACAGACAGACATAACAAGATCTGTTCTTCATTTCGAGAAAGAAATGAATGAAGTTGAGGAGTTGAAACCCCAGAGGTCCTCTCCTGAGAGACACACGTGTGCGCACACGCCGCTCCGTCCCTCCGGCACTCTCCAGCAGGAGAACATTGTTTCCATGACCTCTGACCCCCTCAGCGGCTTACATGTTACTTAAAGCATGTCTGCACTCCAGTGCACCCCAGCTTGCGTTCCCCTAAAGACTACAACAGCTTGCAGTCTCTCATCATCTCTCTGTTATTCCCAGTGTCTCTAAAGTTAACATTGGCGTGTTTAACCACGTGCCAGGCGGTGACACGGCTCTGTAGCGGCGCAGTGAAGAGGTTACGGCCTGAACCTTGCCTCATTTTACACTCTATAAACTCACCGACGCTTCGTGTGTGTGCTGCATGTATTGTGTCATGCATAATGCCTCACATCCTACTTCAAAAGCCAAGCATAAGAGCTTTTTTTGACTTTTACAGGGGCCCTGTACGTATGTACTGCTTTAAACATAAATCTCACTAAATGTTGTTAGATTTAGGCTTAAAGCAAGAATGAAGCTAGACATGTTCTCTGAAAACAAAGTTTTATATATATTACACAATTTTGCTTCTTAAGTATAATGGTCTTTTTACTGGAAAACGAAATAAATGTGCCTCTGGCAGTCCAACTTGGGAAGCGCAGGGATACGGCGTTCTGCAGAGAAGCTGGTGACAGAAGATAACGCTCGCTCTCGCTTTCTGTTTGTCCTGGAAATTGAAGGTGGCCATTCATCAGTGATAGCTGACTAGAGCAGTTACCGAGTTAGAGGAATTAACGCTGTGAAAACATTACCCCCATATCGCTCATTACGCACTGATGAGCCGTAATTTGTTTACTGGAATAACATAAATAAGCATAATTGGCCAATCAAATCCATGAATGAGAGCCATGTCATAATCAGGCGACCGTATTAGAGATGTGCTGCTTATAGGCTGAGATACAGCTCAGTTTTATTTCTTTTTTTTGTCTAGTAAAAATACATAACACTCTGACAACAAGATCAATTTACTTGAGAAGCAAAAATGTGTAAGATATGTTTTAATTGTGTAATAATTTTACAAGAAATTAAATTAATTCACCTAAAAATTATTACTGTATAAGATATGTTTGATATTACTTGGCTATTGTTTGTACTTGACAGTTGACTATTACTCCAGTTTTAAATTTTTAAGTGTTTTATTATTATTATTATTATTATTATTATTATCATTATTATTGCTTAAAACAAGAAAACGCCTGTTTTCAGAAAATATCTTGGCAAATATTTTTTCCCCTTGCTTTAAGCATAACAGTTCATTAGATTAGCAATGTGAAAAATAAATAGATATACACTACCATTCAAAAGTTTGGGGTCAGTTTTATTTATTTATTTTTAAAGAAATTACTACTGTAATTTTAATTTAATTTAGGACGCATTCCTTTGATCAAAAGAAACAGAAAATACTTTTTTTATATTGTTACAAATAATAAGTCCTTTTAAAATAATGCCTTTTTGTTTTTACTTTCTGTTCATCAGAGAATCCTAAAAAAATATCAAGGATCTGCTTTCAACTTTGATAATAATTATAAAAGTGTCACCAAATCAGCATATTAGAATGATTTCTGAAGGATCATGTGACACTGAAGATTCTTGAAAATTCAGCTTTACCTCGGGAATACATTAAATTTGAAAATATATTTAAATAACAAACAGTTATTTTAAATTGAAATAATATTTCACAATAGTACTGTTTCTATTGCATTTTTGATCAAATAAATGCAGTCTTGTTGAGACCTCTTTAAAAAAATAACGAAATAAATAAACCTCAAACTATGGTAGTGTAAACTGAAGATACATTTAAAAAAAAAAAGTGTTTTAATTATTGTTTTAAGTATGGTTGCTAGATATTCAGAAAACAAAAATGCTTAAGAAAATTGCTCTTATTGAACAAACGTTGGCTGAAGAATACCGGGTTGCCATTGGAATGATTGTACGGTTGTGTTTCTGACCTCGCTGTGCGTAAAATCCTCTGTGTATGATGTGTGTGAGTGTGTTTGGTGTATATCTGTGTGTCATCTTTTCCACCTCTCCTTCCCCCAGATGTCCGGATGGATACTTCGGCCAGCGGTGCTTGCAGACAGAGCCCCTGAAGTTATACATGCCCAAACCTAATAAAAGTATGTTGACTTGAGACGCACAGCCGCAAACAGAGGACCAGCTGTCACTGGGTTACCACTGTCGTCTCTCCCTTACCTCCTTCCACCTCCCAAGGCTTGCTGGCTTAAGTCTGTCCTGAAATAGACAACAGTGGTGCCTCCAGTGGGATCCTCTGCTTCTGCTGTACATCATTGTGCTGTTGTCCTAATGTTCTCTCTGCTTTCTTTTTCCCCTCTCTTCTTTCTCTTGCATCTTTTCTCTCTGCTCGACACTCTCTCCCTCTCTCTTTCTTTCTATGGTTTTGTCTCCTTCCATCAGGTGTCCAAATGACTTTACTGGTGATCGCTGTCAAACCTACGTTATGGCCAGTTTCTACCGTATGTCCATTTCTTCTTCTGTCTGTCTGTCTGTTTTGTTTGCATGCTGAAACTGAAGACGTGGAATGTGGTTCTGTAATGGTTAATAATATACTTGTTGTTCTAACAAAACCAGTTTTTTAACAATTAATCAGTTTTATTTGGTCCTGTGTGCCATTCACCCATTGCATCATTGGTTAATTGATTCCACATTATGTCGTAACATGATCAGTGATTTTTAAGTATGAATGCATGTTCTTTAATAAATTAAACCGTAACTTAGTTATAATCATAATGGCAATAAAACATGCCTAATTAAATGCTGCATCGTACTTTAACATATACAACAGAAATATAATTACTGTCAATTTACTAACAATAAACACATGCTATAGATTGCCCAACTAGAAAATTATGTTACAAACAAGTGAATGGTCAGCTAATAATTATTTAAATATAAAAAAATGCACAGTAGTGATTACAAAATGGGAACTAATATTTAATTATTATCATTATTATTTTTTTTTTTTTAAGATATCAATGCCATATTGGTTATTGGTTGTCATATTTTTTTTTTTATCATGAGTATCTGTTAATATTGCATATATATAGGCTCATATGGGTATTTAATTGTGCACACTCATTTTCTCTATTTTTTTTCATTTAGATTGTTGAATTTAGTTGGATATTTTAATTCATAATTAGACATTTAGACTCTTAGTTAATTTCTTTAATAAATTAAACCGTAACTTAGTTATAATCATAATGACAACAAAACATGCCTAATTAAATGCTGCATCGTACTTTAACATATACAACAGAAATATAATTACTGTTAATTTACTAACAATAAACACATGCTATAGATTTTCAAACTGGAAAATAATGTTACAAACAAGTGAATGGTCAGCTAATAATTATTTAAATATGAAAAATGTGCCGTAGTGATCACAAATTGAGAACTAATATTGAATTAATAAAATAAAATGTCCATAAAATGTCCTATTAAGGATGATCAATGCCATATTAGTTTTTTTTTGTTTATGAGTATCTGCTAATACTGGATATATATTGGGTATTTAATTGTGCATACTCATTTTCTATATTTTTTTCATTTAGATGGTTTAATTTAGTTGGATATTTTAATTAATAATTAGACATTTAATTAATCTTTAAATTAATCTTTAAAAACACTGGTAATCTTTAGCTAATTTAAAGCTAAAACTATTTTGTGTTTTATAAGAATTTATTGTATTATAGAATTTTAATGTCAGCCATTTATCAGTTATCGGCCAAAACTTTATATTTTACAAAATTTAATATCAATGGTAGTTCCTATGATTCAAACAGTAGAGCATAGCGATTGCAACACCAAGGTCCTGGGTTTCGATTTTCAGGGAACATATGAACTATAAAACCGTATTCCTTGAATGCAAAAGTCACTGCATAAAAGCATCTTCTGAATGCATAAATATATGTAAATCATTTTTCTACCAAACTCTATATGTAAATCATTTTTCTACCGAATTATAATGTACATGTATTTGAAATGACTGAGTTCTGCAATTTCGTAATATTTACAGCCTATTTTATTTATTTTTAAGTAAAAAAAAAAATGAAGAGACATTTTTGCAAAGAAGCTGTCATTTTCGTCTTGTTTTTTTATATCAGTTGTAGTAATTTGCATACAATACAATGTTCTGTAGTTTCACAAGTGCGTGTGGTGTAAAACAAGCCATTGTTTTTCTCGCACAATCCCCTGCACACCCCACAGTTCAAAAATCCACCCCTTAATTATGCTGTGAAATTAAACAGCTCCACTTCCCCAAGGTGACACATTTTAACCGTATAAGGCTACAGATCGGCGTCTCCACCGCACATGTCCATCAACTGCAGAATAACACCTAGATTAGAGGGAAGCACAGGGATCACTACACCTGACAGCTCATGCCTGTGAGCTATTGGCTCCCGCTTGTGTCCACATAGAGTGTATAATCAGGCCTTTGTGCTCTCGACAGCGTTGCTATGCTGCCGCTGTTTACATTTTACTATGAGCTTAATCTCAACATATATTTATTAGTTAATAAAAAGACAGGAGGTAGAACACGAAAGATTGATGTTAACAAAACTATCCGTGGACGGAAAGCGCAGTTAGATTTCCTCGCTGTATAAAAGGAATAATTTATGAGGTGTTATTAAAAATGCTCAAAGTGATGCAAAACAAGAAAAATGATAATATGACACTTGTGCTATAACCTGTGTCATGTTATGTCATGTCATGATTTATCGATCTGAGTTGTTACCTATATCAGGACAGCGGATCAAGTCTTTGCATGTGTGGATTGTTAGCTTTTTCACTGTCAACAGCCAGGCTTCCTTTCCGTATTTTGTAGCTGTTCATTTTGGGAGGTCTGGAAATGAGTGTCTGTCAACATAAGCTGTTGAAACAGTGCAGGTACTGAGGCTTTTAGACCTGAGGAAATGTAAATAGTACAAATGTAGCACAATAGGTGCGTGTAGATACAAGCAGCTTGAGGAAAAAATGGCTTTGGCGCCATGGCTGAAAGAGAGAAATGAAGGCATCCCCCATCTTATTGCATGGTAGGAATATTATAATGCAGAGAAGAACATCTGACAAGATGTCATGCAAAGCCCGGCTGTAAATCCCAGTGTGCAGGTTGTGCATGAGGACAGATGTGTCTTCAGAGCTGTCGTCTCCGAGAGAAAGTGATTTTCTGTCACTTTCTGTTCAACTCGCTGTTGAGAGAATTGTAATCGCTCAACCAATTAGAGTCAGAGTAGAGAGCTAAAACAGTAGCTGACCTTCGGCTGGAGCACTGCAACAGCCCAGGGGCTTTTAGACTGCAGGCCATGGAAAACCTGACCGAATATTTAATAAAAAAAAAAAAAATACTATTTTGTTTTGTTTTGTAATTTCTATAAATACAATGTCATTTTTTGTTTTTTTCTTTCTTTCCCAGAGCTTTTACTGTGGAATAGTTCACTGAAAAGTAATATGGACTATGTATTTTCATGTATAAAGAACAATTTATACTGTGATTTTTTAGTTTGTTTTTGTTTTTTGTGGAAAATAAAAGGAGAAATTTTGAAGAATGTCCAAGCTGCTTTTTACCATACTAGCATGAATGTGGACATGGGCAGCGCTATATATATATATATATATATATATATATATATATATATAAAATACAAATCACTCTTTATACATGAAAATATATGCCTTATATATATATTGCCTTTATATACAAGGCAATCCCTGGCAAAGGAACCATTATATTTGTGTTTTCTGGTAACATTTTACAATAAGGTTTCATTTGTAAACATTAGTCAAATGCATTAACTAACATCAACTAACAATAACCAGTATATTTTTGCTGCATTTATTAACCTTTGTTGATGTTTATTATGTTCATGTTCATGTTAGTTCACAGTGCATTAAAGGGTTAGTTCACCCAAAAATGAAAATTAGCCCATGAATTACTCATCCTCAAGGCATGCTAGGTGTATATGACTTTCTTCTTTCAGACGGAGTCCAGTCAGAGTTATATTAAAAATTGTCTTTGATCTTCCAAGCTGGGCTCCGGGGGGTGAACAAAGGCCTCCTGAAGGGAATCGATGCGTTTTTTTGTAAGAAAAAATAACATATTTAAAACGTAATAATCAATTTAATCTAGCTTGCGCTCACTGTTGTACACAGAAGCAGCTCTGGGCAGATGACGTAGGACGTCGGCGTTGCGCATGCACAGCTCAGAAGTGACGAACGCGGAAGTGCAGGGGAGAGATCAAAACAAAACAACGGTCACGAATTAGAAGTACAAAACGAGGATTTGTAAAGAAGAATGTCGGAGGATTTCGATATAAGCCAAGAGGAGATTGGTTTTCCTTTGCTAAAGTAAGGAAACTTTGCTTCCTTTGCTCCTGTAAACAAATGTTGGCTTTCACAAGACTCACCGGCGCATGCACAACGCCAACATCTTACATCATCCTCCCGGAGCTGCTTCCGTGTACAACTGTTGGCGCAAGCTAGATTAAAGTGATTATTACGTTTTGAATATGGATATTTTTCTTACAAAAATGCATCAATTCACTACAGGAGGCCTTTGTTCACCCCCCGGAGCCGTGTGAGGGACTTTTTATTATGGATGGATGCACTTTATTTCACTTCTTTTGGACTGAAGCAATACAACACCCGCTGACTGCCATTAAACAGCTTGGAAGATCAAAGTCATTTTTTAATATAACTCCAACTGGATTCATCTGAAAGAAGGAAATTATATACGCCTAGGATGACTTGAGGGTGAGTAAATAATGGGCTAATTTTCATTTTTGGGTGAACTATCCCTTTAATGCACATTAACAGATACAACTTTTGATCTTAAAATGTTTAGATCATAGATATTAACATTACCTAAGATAAATAAATGCTGTAGAAGTTTCATTCATTGTTATCTCATGTTAACTAATGTTAGCAAATTAAGCCTTATTGTAAAGTGTTACAGTGTTTTTATTTATTTATTTCTATTTTATTTTATTTTATTTTGTGCATTATAAAGTTAAAATAAAAAGTATTTTAAAATCTCTACCTGAGGATTGCTCAGTTGTTCCATCTCTATCAGGCCTGCGAAATTCCGTCGTCATGAAAACAGTGAGAATGTCCTGCAACTAATATTAGGCACGTGAGCTGCCCAGAAAACTGCTTGTCACTCATTCATTAATTCAAATAACCTAATTATCCTGATCCCAGGCCCTTTGTGTAAGAATATATTTTGATAGCATTATCAGCTACAGTATACCACCAGTTATAACACTCTCAGCTCCGCTACGACTGCGTTCTCAGTCTTGTGTTCTATCTGAAAGGACACTCAAACCAGACTGAAGATACACGCAAATCTGAGTATAATAATACCTGAATTACTTTGTCTAATCATAATATTTGTTGCATAGAGCATGTTTTACTAATATAGAGTGTAAATAGCGTCTTGTCATTAACAATTAACATGAAAATGCACCAAAATGTTTTATGAATAATATCAGCTGTCTGTGTGCCCCACAGGTAAGACACATCAGAGATATTTTAATTGTGTAGTTTAATGACCACTGGAATGTATATCAATTCACTTGCAATCTCGCTGTTTTGTTTGTAGTATAACAATAATTATATTAATGCTAGAGTTGAAATAACTGCCGTAGAATAACATGAATTAAAGTGCCTAACAGTGACAGTGAATCGAATCTACTAACATAGCTGCTCGTTTTAAAATCTCAGATCCTAATCCATGCAATAAATACCGAAATAAACTACTAGTTTGGTGTTATAGATGCTAGTTTGATGATTTTAATTATAATTCTATTTTATTACGCACAATTATAATCATCTCTTACCCATTAATCCAGGTGTGGTCATATTTCAGTCGTGCTCTAACCCGCATTATCTAACCACTTATTCTCTTTAGTATCTGCATGATGTGTCCACAATGTGACTTTCATAATGCCCATATGTGTTCCTGTGTATGGTGGGATATCTCTCTCTTAAATCTTGTTTTTCCTCTCTCTCTGTTTTTGTTTTGCTCTTCATTATCAACTCTTTGCACTGGCAGAGTCTCTTGGGATTGAATTTATGGGTATGGACCGATCCTTCATTCTGATTTCCAGATTGAACTGTGTAGCTCTCATTCCATTTCACACAACTCTCTGATGGACTCTAAAGCAAATGAACAAATTGATTAACAAATAAATCTGTCAATCAGCCATTGCTCTGTATAGTAGCCCCTCTTTCCAAGAGTCAGCATGGGAATCATTATCTGCAGCCCTCGTCCCGTCCCAGTGGGATTTTAAGGCTTTGTTCAGACAGGCAGAAAGAATCGGATCCGACTCAAATCCGTTTCGGGAAACAAAAACAACATGAAATCCGATGTTTATAAGCATTCATATTTGGTCTAAATATCTGATTCAAATCTGTTTTTTTGGAATGTGTTTTAGTCTGAACGATCATATCAGATTTCAAATGTTTTATTTGAGTTTTATTTTTCCTCTGTCATTCAATAATATGATGACTCATATGTAACATCATACAAATTGCACAATATTCACTGGAGCTTTAAAAAAAATCTAAATAATATATATTTAAAATGTATATGGACATTTCCGACTTTATTAAAGGTCATATCAAAATTAGTTTTAATTCAGAAATTAAAAAGATGCTTAATATAGAAAATTATTTATTATAAGAATTGCATTATATTTTTTAAGTAAATGAATTCAAACAAAAATAATGCCATATTATATTGCCCCTTAAAAAGCTGTATAAAAAAATTTGTATAAAAACTTAGTGCTGTCAAACGATTAATTGCAATTAATCGCATCCAAAATAAAAGTTTTGTTTACATTATACAGTATATGTGTTTGTACTGTGTATATTTATTATGTATATATAAATGCACACACATACAGTATATATTTTGAAAATATTTACATATTTATACATTTATATATTCATATTCGTATATTTTATATTATATATAAATATATTTAATATATAAACATAACATATTTTTCTTAAATATATACATGCATGTGTTTGTATTTATATATACATAATAAATATACACAGTATACACACATATATTATGTAAACAAAAACTTTTCGTTTGGATGCGATTAATCGCGATTAATCGTTTGACAACACTAAAAAAAATTTCCTTTTGTAGCCATTTTACAATCCCACAAACAGTCTTTTAACCAAAAATCCATACAGTAGTCTGTATATACATCATATATTCATATCATATGCTCAAAATGTCCAAAAGACCAGTTTTGACAGCTAAATTGGATTTGTGTGCAGTGTTAACAAGTTTCAGTCGGCTCAGTATGTTTTACCTATTTAAAATTAGCCATAAACTTTCTTGCAGCCCTAAAACGTTGCCAGAAATAGTTTTACTGTGAGCATTTAACAACTTGCGTAGTTCAAGTTTTACGTAGGACTTTTGACAACCATATATTTTGTTGAATTGGTTGGAACGACATAAAGAGTCGGCAAATGAGTCAGTTTTTTGTCATCAACATGAAGATGTACACAGTTTTCTTCAAGTGTATGCAGCTAGTCGCAGGCTCTTAAGGAGTTAGCATTAAGCGGGGGTGATTTGTGTAAACCTCCGTCAGTTTTACACACCAACCTGGTGTTTACTGAACGGTAAACATAACAAGTGTGTGGCTTCAAGTGAATTTATGTGCACTGGAGTTGTACTAACATTTAATCTAATTATGTTTTACCTGGAAAGCCTTGGATCACGTTGATAAAACGTGTTCGTTTTCCCTTACACATGCACTTTTAGGATTTAGCCCGTTTATTGTAATTGGACATTTTTAAAAGAATGTAATATAACTTTAATTTTTTCTACCACATTTTAATTTTTTGTTGTTTTAAATAAACTAAATTGTACATTTTTGTCATTTTAGATAAAGGTGAATACAGTAGGTAAATAAAAAAACAATTCCTAATACTGTACATAGTTTTCTTACTCGAGTTAATACATTTTGATTTGTAGATATTTTTACTAGAAAACAACAAAAATACTGAATAAATCATGTTTAGTTTTTGGCATCAGGGATTGTACAGCTGTATTTACAAAGCGTTTACATCAAATCTGATCATGAGCAGCTGTAACTTCTCCAGATGGTCTTTTATTGTACAGTTGATCATGGTGTGTTGCTTTCAATGCAATGTGGATGAGTGCTGCAGATAAAAGTTCCCTTTTCTTTCCTCAAACAAAATAGTTCCTTTACTTTCATTTTCTCAAGTTCTTCTCCCTGTTCCATCTGCCCGCTTTCCTGTTGTCTTTGCTGAATTATTTTTCATCTCTATCCTTGCACGCTACTTTCCATTCTTCTGCTTCACCAATGCGATTTCTGCAGCTGTATTTGATAATGGTTCAAATTGAACAGAGTTTCTCTTTTGTTTTCTGTTCTTAATTTTACTGGGCTTGAACAAACTGAATCCTAGTGCCCTGGCATGCCAAACTGCATCAGTCCCATAATTGGGTTGTTTATATGACCTCTCCCAGTCGTCTGTTCTTTGCTTACAAAAACAGCCTCTGTTTTCCCTTGAAAATGATCCATTTTATGGTACGTGTAAACTAGGCTCTCTATGAAGTCACGTTGTGTGCTTAAAGCACATACTCAGCTCCGTTCCTACCAGCACAGATGAGGCCCTTCAGAAATAATGTTCTCCTCATCGCTCTGTACTACTGAGCAAACGACAGCTGGATTATTTCATTATTGATTATGAAATATTTCTCCCCTAACTAGCCCCTATCCCTCTCGGACTCGTATTCTCTTCCTTTTAGAAGGTCTGTGAGACCAAACCAAGGCCCATTTCCAAGGAAAAGGCAGAAGGCTGGATGTAGTCTGTGGTTTGATATTTAAAAAAAACATTTCCTTTTGAATTGTACCCAATATTCAGTTTGTGTTAAAGGAATATTCCGGGTTTAAACAAGTTATGCTCAATCTACAGCATGAGTGGCATAATGTTGATTAGGACAAAAAAAAAAGTTTTCTTTAAATGAGCAATACTCAAGGTTACAGTGAAGCTTTATAAAAGCACTTACATCAAATCTTTTGTTAAAATATGTATTCTCTGAACTTAAAAACTTTTTTACAGTCGGTTTAAGGTTTGTTGCATAACGTTATGTTACCACAAAAATTGACTCATCTCTTGTTTTCATTAAAAACGCAAAAATCGAGGTTACAGTGAGGCACTTACAATGGAACTACTGTAAATAGGGAAAAATTTTGAAGGATTTGAAGGCAGAAATGTACTTAATTTTAATAAGTACTATTACTAATCACGAATTAATATTTTAAAATTGTATAGAATTAAACTATTATCTATTAATTATTTAAACTATTAACCGTGTAAATATTTTACAGTCATTTTAAGCTTTTAAAGTAAAAAAAAAAACTTTGCAAATAAATGGTTAGTAAGTCTTTTTCTTTTAATTAAAATCATATTAACAAGAATAATGTTAATATATTACAACTATGCTATTGAAACATTATTTTAACGTCTACAAATTGGCCCCATTCACTTCCATTGTAAGAGCCTCAATTTAACCTGGATTTTTACCTTTTTTTTTTGTCTTTTTAAAAATTTTCACATTTATTTATTTTGTACTCCAAAAGAGCTAAACTGACTGTAAAAATACTTGAAAGATTTTTATTTATTTATTTTCTTTTAAAACATTTTTTTGTGGTAATCAATATACCACAAATGCTGTCAAATGAGCTCAATTTGATCAACTGCATCCAGAATATTCCTTTTTCTATGCATCCATGATTTGATTGGTTATGAATGCATTAATCAAATATAACTGACCAAGCCAAACAAACACCCTGATGTTTGTTTCTGTGCCTCCATTTAATCACTTCTTAAACCAATTTGTCCCAAACATTCATCCACATTTCAATTGTCCTCTTGATATGCTGTTTGATCTTGTAAATTGAGCTGAATTGTGACGCCCCCCAGTGGAGGAAAGCATCCATGGACTCACAGAAATCATCAGCGCCCATCGGTAGATTGTTCAGACAGACCGATTCCCTCACGTCCACGATAATGATATGCATTATTTCTCACGCAAGCACTTTCCACTGCTGAGCTGGTCCATTAGAGCCCTTGTCGAGGCCTGAGCCTCGTTCCCATCTCACGATTAATCCTCATATCCATGCTGTTAATGAGAGCGTACGAGATCTGAGTCATGCTGAATGCCCGATAGGAAGAACATGTTCATCTGAGCCGTACGTGATATCTCTCAGATTTGATCATGAGATTGCATGAAGAAGGATCGGCGCAGCAGTGGGAACTGTTTACGAGAGAGTTTAGGACCAGTTTTAGTTGAAGACGAGGCTGATAATTGTTGTGTGTGTGTGTGTGTGTGTGTGTGTGTGTGTGTGTGTGTGTGGTGATGTGCAGAGGCAGAGGAGCTCTATCAAAAGAGAGTCCTGACAATCACCGGCATCTGTGTGGCTCTTTTGGTGGTGGGCATAGTCTGTGTGGTGGCCTACTGCAAAACCAAGTAAGTATAAGGAACAACGGCAGTGATATTACTTATAATAATAACATATTACTATAGCAGTTATATTTATTTGTGCCTTAGGTTATTTTTTGACTGGCCTCAATTGTATAACTAATTTCTATCAAACTTGAAATCGCATATTATGAATATTAATTATAAATTAACTTTAAAAGTACACACAAGTTCAAAATGTTTTTTATTTTGTATTTATTTTATTTTTGAGGGGTTTCTCTTATGTTTACCAAGGCTGCATTCATAAAGTAATTGTGAAATATTATTATGATTCAAGAATGATTCAAACTGTTTTCTGTTTGAATATGTATTCAAATGTAATTAATTCCTGTAATGGAAATGCTGAAATACTCCAGTCTTCAATGTCACATACTTCTAATATGCTGATTTGATTTCTTGTTATTATCAATGTTGAAAACAGTTGTGCTGCTTAAGTTTTTTTGTGGAAACCACAATTACTTTTTCAGGATTCTTTGCTAAATAGAAATTTCAGTAACACTTTAGTATAGAGACCAGTTCTCACTAATAACTAGGCCTATAGTTGCATATTATCATGCCTATTATTAATATTGGCAGTTTATTAGTACTTATAAAGCACATATTCTGCATGACCATATTCTACATCCCAAATCCTACCCAATACCTAAACTTAACAACTACCTTACTAACTATTAATAAGCAGCAAATTGGTAATTTATTGAGGGAATAGTTGTAGTTAATGGTTTGTTAATAGCGAGAACTGGACCTTAAAATAAAGTGTAACCAACATTTCAAAAGAACAGCAAACTAGCTGATTAAATATATATATATATATATATATATTATTTTTTATTGTAATTTTTTTACTGACCCCAAACTTTTGAACAATAGTATATTAAACAAAATTAATATGTTTTAAACAATACTGTAAAGTTGCATTTGCTTTGGAATTAATTTGTCTAGTTCCCTTTCGATACTTCACTCGTACTGCGTCTTGCTTAAGGACGCATATGGGAAAAAGCCTTTTTTCTCCTGAACTGAAGCCTATTTCATTCACGCAGTGAAACTGCACGGCCATTATGCAAAGTTAAGCATGTTTAAATACATTTTTCTATTTTTTCCTTTTTTCTGTTTATTTAGCTAAAAAACTTTTGGAGTGTGTTTGGACTCTTGTGCCTTACAATAATGTAAAAATGTATTTACATTACATAATAAAATATCAGTCCTAGTGGAATTTATTTTGAAGAAAGACAGCAATTAAAAAAAAAAAAAAAAGACAGCACTTTTAGTCTCACTTTATTTTAAGGTCCAATTCTCATTAACCATTAACTACCACTTTTGCCTTAATAAACGCCTTATTTTCTGCTTATTAATAGTTAGTAAGGTAGTTGTTAAGTTTTGGTATTGGGTAGGTTTATGGATGTAGAATATGGTCATGCAGAATATGTGCTTTATAAGTATTCATAAACAGCCAATATGTTAATAATAGGCATGCTAATAAGCAACTAATAGGGAGAACTGGTCCCAATACTAAAGTGTTACCACACTTTTTAAATAAAGAGCAACGGTCTGTTTTCAGATGCCACTTGGTTTAATATTTTATTATCTAATGAAATTGCAGTTTTAAGTGTGGCTTAAGTATCTGAATACTATTTTGGGTCATTATACAGTAAATAACCAAACTGAATGTTAAAATTTTTTAGCTGTAACTCTAGCACTAGCATTGAGCGGGTAGAAAGACTTTTTGAAATGTGACGTGATGATTGTGACTCTGGGCCGGTGTCTGAGAGAGTGACACTGCCTCACTGTAGCCTCCCCCCCAGGAAACAGAGGAAGAAGATGCACAATCATCTAAGGCAGAACATTTATGTGGATCATCCCAACCGCAACCTGGCCAACGGACCCAATCACCCAGGACCTGGTCCTGAGGAGATACCCATGGTAGATGTATGTCACTCTTCTTAATAAATGGAATTTGTTGTGATGTAATGTCTTCTGTCAGTAACTGAAGGGCTCTTTTCTTCTTGCCCAAATGCAGTATATCTCCAAAAATGTACCGGCGACTGAGAGAGTCATTAGACACGGAGCAGAGGCACCTTTTCCTGGCACCCGGCAGTCTTCCAGATCCCACAACTCCTCCACCCGGGCTCATTCCTCCACTCACAGGTACATTCCTGACAGCGTGGCATGTTTGACCACAAATGAGCACAGGATTTGTGTGTGTAGACTCATCAAGAACCAGGGGTCATGCTCTAGTTGCCCCCTACCAGAGTCATACGTCTGTTTTCATCTCATTCAGCATTCTTTCCCTTCCACTGTTCCGCTGGAATCCGAGTCAGCAGCCATTATTCATTCCTTTTAGAATCAAGCCACAGGTGTGAGTGAGTGAGTGAGTGCAGAGAAACTCAGAGGTTATACACCATGATCACCTCGCAGGCCTCCGGCTTCACGCTTTTCACTCAAACGGATTCTTACACACATATGGGTTAAACCAGTGGTTCTCAGTTTGTTCTGTCTACTTTGTAACAGGAGCAAACTTTGTACACCCTTAACACTTCCACTATAATCAAACAACCGCATTGTTGGCCAATTTTGTTAGCATGTGTAGTATTTGTTGAATAATGGGGAAGTTTTTGACAGATTGTGATTTGTCATACGGCAAATTAGCAGTGAAGTTATGGAAACGCGTAGATCTACACTTTTAACTGTTTTAATGACTTAGCCCAGTAAATGAAAGGCTTTTTATTTTACTATACGAGTGCCTTGGAGTATTTCATCTTCTCAGTTTGAGATTCACTTCCAAATATCCAAAGAGCACCGGTGATTGTGTGAAGAGACCAGTGCAGCATTCTTGGCCTCTGTTGTTTTGTCAAGTTATGGTTTTATGGAAATTTATTTTTTCATCTGTCAGTTTAAAAAAAAAAAAAAAAAGAAGCACTACTAAATTTTGATAGTTTTCACTGTTGCGAATAATGAATTGCCTTTATGTTTAAAAAAAAATTTTCTTGTCAGTGGACCTACATTATAATTAAGTTTGTGTATAAAATATAAAAAATCGATATAAATAATACAATTAAAAGATAAATCTAATGAATAGTTAACCCAGAAATCAAACTTTTGCCATAATTTATTTACCCTCATGCAGCGTTTTTATCGCTTCTAAGAACTAAAATGGTTTAAAAAATAACTTTTGTTAATTGAAATAAAGTTGAAATTAAATATAAATATTAGAAGAAAACTTAAACCACTGAAAAAATAGAAATATTGCCTTGACAATTGACTGAAATTAAAGTTACTAAAAGAAGTACTAAAGGTGTTTACTCAAAAACCAAAAATGAAATAAAAATTAACTAAAAACTTTTAACTAAATGTAAATTTTATTTTAACTAAAAATAAATGAAGACTTAATATTTAAAAAAGAATGACACAAGTACAAAACAATAACAAAAAATGTAATTAAAATTAAAATGCAATTAAAATATTATAGTTTATAAATAGTACTAAAATAACACTGGCCTCATCGTGATACAATTATCTGTGGAACACAAACTGAGATGGATGAGACATGAGAGGATTGTGACCAACTGTCCAGTTTCAAAAATCACATAAAAGTAGTTGATATGACTCCATATGCTCTATCTTCTTGTGAAATCATACTCTTGTGAAGCCAAAGGAAATGAAAGAAATCTAAGAACCTGGGAAGCTCCCGTCCCCCTACACTTTGAGAACCACTGGGTTAAGCATCTTGTGCACTTTTTCTATCCTGCTTTCTTTCCTTCCCTTTTCTTCCATTCTCTTTCTTTCTTTCTGTCTTTCTCAGACATGAAGGGAGAACGTGGAGTCTGGAGCGAACAGACAGCGTCCTTTCCGACTGTCCTTCCGGCATGATGTCGTCCTCAGTGGGGACCAGTAAATGCAACAGTCCTGCGTGCATGGAGGCACGGGCCAGGCGTGCCGCACACTGTGGCTTTACTGAGCCCCACCGGCCGGCCCTGCAGTACGGCGACTCTTTCGACTCGCTTGGGGACTCTCCGCATAGCGACAGGTGCGCAGGAGCGCCCCCTCTCTGCAGCCATGGCACTGAGAACTATTTTAGTGTGTGCAGTAAGACTCCTCTGCGTTTCACTGCACAGTCTCCTTTACCCCTGGGGACTGGCATGGGTGGCGTGAAAGATTCAATAGCAAATATTCACAGCACGTACCATTACAGGGAGGGTTGGGGGTGAACTCCAAACCTGAACTCCAAAGACAATTTAACAGCCCATGCAACTTAATAAAATTAGTTTACAGTATTATAATAATATCATTGATAAAACTGATAAATCAGCATAAGAAATAAGAAAGCTGACCCCTCAAAAGTCATTGTATAAATTGCACACTGCATACTGTGAAGAATATAACAGTAAAACTCATTGCGCAAATCGTGCAGATGCTCTGGCCCAGCTGAGAGTGTCAGAGAGGGAGTCGGGGTCGAGCAAAGCTTTGCTGCTCCAGATACGCAGTATTTGTATCAAGGCAGAGAGATTCTAGCCCATGGCCAGCTGTATTTACAGTTATCGCTCGCCTGCGAAACGCCCACGCCACCATGCAGGGGCCAAAACAGGAGAATTTATACCGTGAGGGGTTCATTAAGTCAACAAGAGCCGAACAACACGTTATCTCAGGGGTGAAACAGGTCTCTGGTGTTCTGCTCTGCAGTAGTTCCCTCTCTACCTTCTCTCCTGCTCTGCAGCTGACTGAGCTGTTGTGCGTACGGCTATCTGCCCTCAGGCTCTGCAAATCTGTGACAGAGCAGCCAGTGTTAATTTATCTGCTCCAGTTTGACTGTGGCCTCCTCTCTCAGGGCACGCTCACTTTAACTCACACAGCACAGGTCAAAGGAACAGGCGCAGATAAGGAGGGGGTTTTTTTTTCTGTCAAAGGCATCAAGGAAAATTACCCGCGTACATGATTAAGTGTAGCATGATTTACGCTAATGAAAGGGAACTCGTAAGGCAAGCGTTGTCATCCATCTGGTGGCATGCTGCAGTAACAATGCTAAGCCAAGACTGGGAGGTTTGACGTGGCCTCATTTGTTCCTGTAGTGTGTACATCTGCTGTCGTTTGCTATTGAGCTTTCAGCCGCCATGTCTTAGTGCGCATACTATCCTTTTTCTAGTACCATAGCAAGGTGGGCGCAAATTGATACAGTACTGCAAAAGTACAAGGCAGGAACACCGCATATGGGCAGCAGACACAGAACAGGGATCCCACACCTTTAGACCAGTGGATATTCATTAATTATCCATTATGCAGTAGAGAGGTTGCACTCACAGAGCAAGTTGAGTATAACTAGGAAAAACATTTTTAAAAATGATTTTCTTGACTTTTCCAGGCCTAAAATTCCAGGTTCTCCATGAATGGGGGTACTTGAGGAAGAGGTTCTCAAGCTTGAGGTCACCCATGTGTGGTCAGAAGCACAAGAAATACTGTATTGTATTGTTTTTTGTTGTTGTTGTTTTTTGTTTTTTGAGCAAGTTTATTAGTCAATGAAATATTACTTTATTTTATTTTATATCTTTTTCAAAATGTATAATATATTCTGTATATTACCATTACCATAACAAAAAGAAATTCATATTTTAATTCAACAAAGATGCATTATATTGAACAAAAGTGTAAGTACAGACTTTTAAATTGTTTCAAAAAAATTCTATTGCAAACAAATGCTGGTTTTGTTAAAAAAAAAAAATTAACATTAGAACTGTTTTCAACATTGATAATAAGAAGAAATGTTTCTTGAGCAGCAAATCAGCATATTAGAATGATTTCTGAAGGATCATGTGAAACTTGTGAATGAAACAATTGCTCCTGAAAAATCAGCTTTGCCATCACAGGAATAAATTACATTTTAGAAAAATATTTAAATAGTAAATAGTTATCTCAAATTGCAATTATACAATGTTAAAGATTTACTCTATTTTTGATCAAATAAATGCTGACTTGGTGAGCATGAGAGACTTTCAAATAAAATTTAAAAACAATAAAATATAGTCATACAGACCCCAAAATGTTGAATGGTAGTGTGTTTTTATTATTAATTACATTTCGGAACAAAGACCAATTATCGATCCAACCTTGATGGATAGTGATCTCCATGCAAATCCATGTCTCCATGATTTGCCACTTGTGAGATCCTAAAGTGAATGGTTTCATTCTGTTATGTGGGTGACCCGAAAAGTTTGAGAACCCCTGAATGCAACTTCTTTTTCGGTGGTGGGTCCCTTCGCTTTTACAGTACGTGTACTTGAGACGTTTGACTGACGTGCGTATCTGTTCCACACAACCTTCTTCTCTCCCGCTCTTGCTCGCTCTTCTTCCTCTCTCTGCTGTCTCTCTCTCCCTGCCCTTCTCTTGGCACAGGTACGTGTCGGCACTGACCACTCCAGCTCGCCTGTCTCCCGTGGACTTCCATTACTCACTGCCCCCGCAGGTACCTACCTTCCAGATCACGTCTCCCAACGCTAGCCACGCCATGTCTCTGCCCCCCGCCGCCGACGCCCCCTACCCGC